CCCACTTGGGAAATATCTTAAATGCTATTGGTCCGTTGTGTCTTTTAGTATGCTATTTGGTAACTCATCCGAAGAACGATTTTGTACTGTAAATATACGTTTTAAATTATGTTTGTTGTTATCACTTGTTTCTGGCTTTTTTACAGAATATACTTCTCCATTACAAGCTTGGACTTCTTCCTTTAGTTAGTATGGTGGGGGCGCATCAGAATATCTAGCTTATTGGTCTTTGGTCACCGAGTCTGTGTTCTCGTTCGCAGATTAATTGAACTCATGATAGCTTCAAACCTAGCAAAAAGTTGCTTTATTTATTTGTTTGTTTGTTTGTATTCTCTTTTCTCAAATAATGACATTCAAAATTTCTACTATTAATTGTATCAACTTTGTTTTAATTTATTTTTCCCAAAAACTACATTTCAATGTAACAAATTATGCTATTTTGTCGTTAGTTTAAAAAAAAAACAACTTACAATTGAATACTTTTAAATTTTCTCAGAAATTTGATTTTTCTTTTTTTTTTTTTACACAACTAGAAACAAGAAAAAGAAGTTGACATGACAACAGAAATGAACAAACGATGATGATTTGAAAAAGAAAAAAAACTAACTAACTAATGATCAAGTGACGTTTTATTTTATTTTTTTATTTTAGAAAACAATCTGTTCAATCAGATGATCCTTCAGTAGTTTTTTTTCTTATTTTAAGGAACGGATCATCATTTAATAAAGATAATAAAGTTAAAGATTAATAATTTTAAAATAGATAAACCAATATAAAGTTTATAATTAAAAAAAGAAGATGAACTTCGTTACAAAATTCACAGCATTTAGAAAGATAATTTGGCAAGACTATAATTTATGAATGAACCAATCAGATTTACGATAATAGGTGTTAGATTTTGGCGCGAAATTCATTCATTCATTTGGATAAATTGAGTCTTGGCATTATAGTTGATGTCAATTTGTGATGAAAATCCAAAATGTAATTCTTAACCTTAACCATCAACCGTGAATTATAATCGTTATTTTTCGAAATGCTTTATAACCGTCATTTAGCCTAAGTAAATAGGTAGACACTTCACTTTAGTGTCGCTCAAAGGTCATCCATAAATTATAGTCTCAACAATAATTCTATTCACAAAAAGAGAAATAGTTATCTAATTTAGAAATTTTTCAAAAGTACCGAGTCTTTACCGTTATTTTAAAAATCTAACAATCTACTTATTCAACATCAGTCATTCATTGAGATCTTTTCACATTTCGACTTGATTAACTCTTCAAGTTATTCTTCCTCATTCAAACAACAAGAAACGATTCTTAATGTGAGAGTATCTTTTTAGTTTTATACTTACACTCATCTATAATTAGGGTGGTTGACTCAAAAGTTATAAGTTTTTGGTTCAATACTATATAAAACAATTGGTTACTTCTTTTAAGAAATTACAAAGTGTGATTGAAAACTATGCATTATTTGCTACGTTTTACCATTTCTACTACTTGAACTTGACCTGTGTTAAAAGACATCCATTATTACTAAATAAATGTCTTAAAATATATCTTATTGAATCATCAAAATTTTTTAAACGAATGTTTAAATGTCTAAATTCATCTTCTTCACAATGATTGTTCCTTATGTTAAGTGAGTATCTCATGTTTCATGCAAAAAAATTGAAAATAATATTATTCATCAAATTGAACGAGATTAATACAGTTGGCTACTTACAAGGTAAAAGTTTGGAAGTAATAATAATCAATTTATTTTGAATACCGATGGTGATTTCATATTGTTAGATAACTTTAATAGTGAAAAAGCTGACTTAAGACATTCGGACATGAAATTAAGATAGTGGATTAACTTATTCGCTAAATATTTGGGTATGAGCCTTATTCTGCGCGTGATGACCGATGATATTATCCAGTTTCCCAAACAGGAATAAGTAGAGTACAGTTCGAACATGTGACTTGGTGACCGAAGGTCGAACACCATTACTATTTGGCTACTCCTTAACCGTTCATATACCTGTAGCCTATTGAGAAATAAAATCAGATACACAGTTTAAGCACTAAATAATAAAGAGATTTATTCTGAAGACTTCCATGATAGTTTCACATAATAACACTAAATGTGCACCACTTTTACACAGTAAGTTTTGAATGAAATTGTAATTTCGTGTTTGACCATTATTTGAACTCAGTATTCAGAAAGATATTTTTCATGGTATACGAATTATCATCTTGAAACATTCATTCGCGTTACAAGGAATTAAAATTATTCTTGACATATAAGACATGACTTTTATGATATTAATGCCTACTCAATAATAAAAGTCCACGACAAATTGTAGATTTTTCTTCCAATAAATTTCTAGCGTACGTTCTAACAAGTGAAAAGATGTCTCGATTCTGACCAACGATGATGAACTCATATATCTTAATTTACTAATCAATATAGTAATATATGTCATGTGTATCTGGTTCTTTAATAATAATGGAATTTTATCAATACATTTGTAGTTTGAAAACTAATTTAAGTTACTTAATATTTTATTTTGATATTGAGTGGATGAAGAGAACCAGAAAGACGCTGGCTATCGACAAATATGAAATCAACTATTACCTAATAATAAACTAGTATAAATATTTCAGTCAAACAGGTGATCAAATGCAGCTTGGATAGCTCGATGTTGATTTCTCTGACTGTAAAACTGAATCTCGGGCATGTGAACTCTGTGGGAAAACACAAATTTCATCAAGAATTCAGATAACTTTCATTTAGCATCATCTATCACGAAACAAAAGTAAATCAATATCAGATGAGTTTTGTGGATATTATAGTAATTTCAATGGTTAAGATCATAAGTCAGTTGAAGCTAAACCACCATGGAAAACCTGCAAGCACTGGACAGCTGTTTCGTCCTATTGTGGGACCCCTCAGCAATGCATACCTGCGACCCTGTCTCTCCCGCGAGATTCGAACACAGGACCTACTGGTTTCGCGTGCGAGCACTTAACCACTAGACCACTGAGCCGGCATCCAACGGTGTTAATGTCTAACTTCTATTAATCCACGAAATCGAGCGACTCATCCACCATTGTTATCAGTGAGTTATTATCTCACAACAGACCGTCCAGTGCTTCCAGGTGTTCCATGGTGGTCTAGCTTCAACTGACATATGATCTTAACTATTGAAAAGTAAACCCCAATTTTCAACTCCCTATCACTATTCTACATGCTTCGTAATTCATTATAGTATTTTGAAAATTAGAATGTATTTCTGAACGTATTACACTGATGAATAAACGTAAAAAATGATTATTTATCATCTAATGCATGTCTAGAACTTTATGACGAATAATTCGACGTTCGTACGTAGTTTGTAGTGAACATAGTTATAATTGAGTATAGTTAAAATTACATACTGAAATCAATCAAGAAGCGCTTGAATTGAATGGAGAATTGCACAACTATTTTGTCCTAGTTAAACGTGGTGAACATTGATCGAATCCAAAACCTTATAAGAAGTATGATTAGTTTAAATCAGTTTTTGTTTGCATTTAATCTTGGTTATACTTTCACTATCATCCAATATCATTGTTGATGATTGTTTCTGTACTGATATCACTTCACTTTTAGAGGTTTTTGAATCGATATTTAAAAATTTAGAATCTGAATGTATTTAGTGTAATGTGTGGCAGTCTAACGTTTTGTAGCTCGAGATCTCACTCCAGTTGGATCGTATAATTGATTGCGGTCGAAATATACATCCTGACTATTCACGTATATATTTATTTCCTTAAGTCGCGCTATTAAATAACAGAGTTAAATAAGTTAAATACGAGAGTGGATTTCGATTACTTATATTTTGTGCAATCATTGATCTGGACAGGCAATCAGAGGGGCGAATCGAAGAGAGTGAAGCAAAATGCTGCGCAGTGGAGATGGCATTTATGCTGACTGCATTTAATCAAGCTTTAATCAGTATTTTTAACCAGATAAAAATACGTTACAGACATGTAATGAATGCCATAAGAAGGGTACATACATACGCTTACATAAAACAGTCAAGATTGATAAGCGAATAATTAACAAGGTCAAAATGTAGCTTGAGAAGAATGGACAAATTGAATTGTCCAGAATCTAGAATACGTTATATGGGCTTCATATAGTAACCGACGCTATAAAAATTCTCCAGGTGGATCTACCTACATCTTACTGTTAATGCATGTTATATCCGAACTAAGAATAAATTTTTAGTAACTACTAGGAGTTATTTATGGACTAGTATTGCATATATTGTAATTAAATGATTATGAAGTAATTAGATTATATATATTCATATTCATTTTATCATAAGCTTTCATTCGATCTGTTGGCCATTGTTATACTATTTATCATTCTTAATTTTTTTTCATTTTATTAGTTACAGTATCACATACATACACATTTGGCTTGATCTTGTGATACTGTCTGATCTGTTTGTATATAAATGACGTATATGGAAGCTGATATTTGTGTTCTAGACTGAATGGGTTAGATTAGACGAGAAGCTACTATACAGATTACCAATAAGGATTCAGAGTTGATTTAAGGCTACTGGTGCTTGTTGATGCATTAATGGTTTAGTACAAGAATAAGTTTATAGAAATCGGTATTCTGAGTACCAATTTTGTCATGTGAGTATTTAATGAACCGTAGGACATAATAATGTACATAGTAAATTATAAACCCAGCTCTTATCATTTTGAATGTCGATACATTATTCATTAGATATTAAGTTAAGAACGGATGCTAATTATTTATTAGATAAAACATTTAAGATTAATTATATTTCTGTACATAATCAGTCATACAGGATAATTTGTTACTTAAGATCAAACAAAATATTTAGTATATTAGTAGTAGTTGTCAGTAGTATACTATGAAAATAGTTAATCAAATTTATTTTCTGATTTTTTTCAACAAAAAAAACAATACTAAATCGTAAAATCATCTGATTGGTCAAAATATTAAAAAAAATATTCGATTTAATTCATTTGATTGGTTAACCCATTCTGTTCTAAGGACATCTATTCTAAACCAATCAAATTTACAGGCAAACAAAATTCAATATACAATGATTATTTATATTATTTAAAATATTATCCATTTAATTCTTTTAAGTATTACAAAATCTTTTAATTCAATCATTCAAAGAAAACAAAAACAGAGAAAGAAAATAAAAGAAGAAAGAAAAAAAAAGAATAATCATGGAACGAACTTCAAAATTAATGCATAATTTACGATATAGACAAAAAAATTTTCATTCACAAATGGCAAAATTAAAAATTGTATCAATGATATTTAATTCAATATTAATCATTATTGGTATTATTATATTTAGTTCAGTATTATTAGTAATTAGTTATCCAATTTGGTTAAAAATGTTTATATCATTACAAAAAATTACAATAAGTTATGCAATTTTAATATGGATTGTATTTTTTTGTATTACATCAATAATATTAGGAATCATTGGAATATTTGCTATACAACGTAAAGCAACATTAATTTTAGGCATACAAGTAAGTTATGTTTTAAATAAAAGATGTGGTTTACTTTTATTGTCAGTAAATGACAACCATACATTGATCAATATTCTTTAAATAACTCTGAAACTGTGAAACTAGATCGTTTTGAAAGAAATCATAATCTATTATTATGTAATGATATGATCATACTTTGTTTTTAGTTCAACTTAGAAAATCATTTAATTATAAGAAAAAATCCCCGGCTCCGGTTTGAGCACCAGGGCAGTATCACAGCCCTCACAAAAATCACTTGAGATTTGTGTGGCGCATATGTATTTGATGCCTCCTTGTACCAATATCTATGTGTTAAAATAAATGAATAAGTAATAAGAAAATATCCAATGATAACTTTCAGAATAAAATGTACTATCTAGTTGTGAAGATTATTGTGAATAATTAAAATGGATTGTAATAGTCACCTGATAAGTTGTGCAGGTAGAAAGTTTATTATTTCCCCAATAGGAAAAATATCACTTAACAACTAATTATTTAAAAAAATTTAATATACAGTTTATACTTGTTATTAATCTGTTAACAAAATATTCTGTCTAGCTTCAACTGACTCATGATCTGAACCATTGAAATTACAATAATATCGACAAAAAGCCTTCTGATATTAATTAACATATGCTCACTAGTGACTAGCTTCAAGAGGTATTTTTTGAAGTGAACAGTGAGAAGCAGTGACCAGTAGAGTTCAACCAGCTCTGTTGTGAGATAGTAACTCACTGATGACAATGTAATTCTAAATTTCGTGGATTAGTTAAAGCTAGACAATAACACTTTTGGATGCCAGCCGACTTAGTGGTCTAGTCGTTAAGTGCTGTCGTGCGAGTTTGATAGGTCCTGGGTTCAAATCTCGCGGGAGACGATAGATGGTGGTTGCGCACTGCTGAAAAGTCCCAAAATAGGATGAAACGGTCGTCCAGTGCTTGCAGGTTTTTCATGGTGATCTAGTTTCAACTAACTCATGATCTCAAGCATTGAAAAATATTCTGTCACTGGTAATTGTCTATCGTTTAGTTAGTCATAAAAAAATACGGTGAGACTACAATTTATGGACGGTCTTTGAGTGACTTTGGGAGTGTCTACCTACTTACTTGAGCTAAATGACTGTTATAAAGCAGTTTGGAAAATAAGGATTATGATTTACAATTGATGGTTAAAGTTAGGAATTTGAATTATGGTTTTCATCACAAACTGATATCATGTATGATGCCGAAACTCTATTTATCCAAATGGATGAATGAATTTCGCGCCAAAATCTAACACCTATTATCGTAAATCTGATTGGTTCGTCCAGAAATTATTGTTTCACTAAAAATATGATATGGATTTCTTTGGTTTCCATAAATCTTTTTCCTGATTCATGAATTATTGTGTACAAGAATTTTTTGTGCAGTTTTATATGCAGATGTGAAACAAACAACCCTTGAATAATAAATATATTTTCGAGTAGAAAAATTTTATTTCTGATATTTAGCAGCTTAATGTAAGCCACTTCTTCATAGTAAATAAGTAACTACGGAAATTTAATTACTAATAATGTTTAGTTTAAATGAAGCTGGTTATTTCTCACTGATCAGTTAGGATGTAAACAGTTCACTTCTACGAGAGATAAGCTATGATTTGTACAATAAATTGATAACGTCGATAACTGATATGCTGAGTTGAAGGGAGTTGAAAACCTATAGTCAGATACTTGCTCCATCGTGATTATATAGATGATTTCTTGATGAGTGTTAACTAACTCAAAATAATCACTGACATTGGTTTATTAAAAGTGACAATGGAATCCCATAGTGTTTTTTTGAGCATTTATAGTTGTATCATCATCAATTAACTTGCAATACAACTAATTACGTCCAAACGAGAATCTTGGATGGTATTTAAATGAAATTTTTACAACTTCGTATGTACTCTATTGTATTTTGCGGTAGATTATGTAGTAGCGTGTACCCTCAATCAAAACTGAGAACCATATGGTAAATCGTTAATTTACAAAATATCAATCCATCATCTCAAACTTGACTGTTCCTGTTGCAAACATCAATCCATTGTCTCAGATTTCATTGTTCATACATTTTCATACCGATTGCGTTCTGTTCCTGTTCTTTCATCGTTGACATTCTACTGAAATACATTCTATGCCTGACCAACGTTATATACTACTTGTGTGGATATAAGTAACCCATAACACAATGTGACTTAAAAAAAAATTTTACTTTTAATGTGCTAGTTCCTAAATTTACCGATACAATGATTAATAATTACAGAGCATAATATTATATTCATATAGGAAATAACCAAATGGTAAGTAAATACAACCAAGCTGTTCAAGTCTATGATGAAGCACCAGTTTAGTGTTTATTTGATTTTGGATGGTTGCCTAACCACGGTTAATCAATGCTGCGTAGTGTATTCAAACAAAAATTAGTTATATTTATATGCATATAAAATACCTTCAATTGATTCAACCAGTTTTGTGATATTGTTCTGTCTTAGTAAAATGGGTTAAATTTAACATGGATGTGGACACATTTTCTTGATATAAAACAGTCTTTCTTGCCTCGTTAGTTTAACGTTTTTCTTTGTTAATAACAAATTTATTTTGTGGATAGAACTTTCATTATTCATAATGATAAGCTTTCAAAATAACTTTAATTAGGTTCACAATACAAGTTTACTTTTAACGGAAACATTGTAAAATAGATGTAAACATAGGTGTTAAAATGAAGAATAAGTTTTCTTTATCTTCAATACATTCTGACAGAAATGTTCATAAATTAGAGGTTTGACAAATTGTAAACATTTTTGGGGAATCTCAAAGAGTTAAGTGTTTTCAAAGTTGAATTCACTAGTCAATTTAAGCCAGACCATTACTGAAAACCTGGAAGCCCTAGACGGCCTTTTCGTGCTGGTATGGGTTTCCTTAACAGTACGCATCCATGGTTCCACATGCGACACTAGAACCCAGCACTTTCAGTCTCAGTGATCTAGAGGTTAGATGTTTGCGCACGAGATCATGGATGCGCATTGTTGATCAATGTGAATTGAATTATTCAAAATAACAATAACAAAAATTAGTAAATTAAAGGAATGTAATTTGCCAACAACTGAAGTCGAAATCATTTACATTAGAATTATTATTTTAGTGTATAATTAAAATATTTTTATGACATGTTGAGTTTGATATTGACCATGATTTGAAAAGTGATTAAATGCAAATCACAGTTGTATGAAAGAAGAATATTCTTTTCAATAATTTCTCATCCGGTAATCCAAACAGTTAACAGCTCCATTATAGACCATCTAGTTGAGACAGGACATACAGCCAATATGGAGCAATCTTTTGCAATAATCTATCATGTTAATAGCAGTCTACCTAATTCCGTCAGACTTTGAATTCTATAGACGGCTGAAGCAATTGCTATTCGGATCAAAAAGCCAGAGTTTTACATCCAAAAGAAATATGTTCAGTCACTCCTTTTACCCTGGCCAACTTTGGGGCTAACTACTTAATAATCAATTTTATAATATGGTGACGTAATTTGATTAATCTTCATTTTATGTCCCAAAATTATTACTATTATTGTTATTATTATTATAATTATCTTTACGACTGTGATTATCATTGTTATTATTATTATAATTACATTTGATAACCGTTTAGAGGAATTTATTCAATATCCACCCACAAATCTACTATATCTGACCTAATTCATATTATTCCACATATTACGTAATTTCCGATTTTTATTCCATTATTCTCTCTCTCTCTCTCTCACCCCATGTTGACTATATTTATTCTGATCATTATTTATCGCACAATTTCATTTCACTTATAAACTGATTCAAGTTAACACCTCATATTAGTCTGCTCCAACATTAACGATCTGATTTGATTTAATATATAACAAATAACAATTCTTGATTTACATATTACAATTTCCAAATGATGTACTCTACCTTAAATCTGTCCAATTCTATGGATTATTAATATGGATATGAGATAATTATAGAGTCCCTGATGGGAAATTATTCGTTTCATACAATTGTGTTTTAATATAATGGGAATGTTTTAACGATTAAATGCAAATCTTTAGTTTTTTTTGTTTATTTTAAAAGACACCATTTTGGGAAGAGGAAATTTGGAGCCTGATCTGATTTTAACAGATTTGTAATATAAGTGAATGACTAACATTTTTTTTTTTTCATTTCTTAATAATTGGACTAATATAAACTAAATTATGACCTAGAATTTAATTTAGCATAGAAATTCTCTTGTTTATATAAGAACTTTTGTCTAGATTTAAACGAATAATTTCATTAATTTGGAAGAATATATTTGTAAAATCTTAGCGATTGAATTTGAAGTAGATCCAACGTTTCATTGAACCATCTGGTACAAGACTTTTTTTAAGAAAATATAATCAGTATTTGAGTTAGAATGATAATGATTGATTGTTTGTTCATTCAGATTTGTAGTTAGTCTGATTGGCGTTAGATGAGTTACATGTTCTCCTATCATTATCATGGATTGCTGGTTGTTGTTGGATTGTGTAAGATTATTGTCGGTTCTCGCTGTGGAAATGTGCTTACATTCTAGTTAGACTAATCACATGTTGTTGATCAGAGTTGTGTTGAATCCCTGTAGAATAGACACTAGGTGGGAATCTAGTGTAGATATTTGTCTAAGGTAAATTAACGTCCCATTCGTAAAGATGTGAAAAACAGAATCAGTAAAATACAATTTAATGCATTTATATATATATATATATCTAAGGATTTCATTTAAGGACATGATTCACTATTTTTCTGAATTCAAATATACATGCCAATAAATTATATATTACATCAATTAATCCAGTAATTTATTGCCTTGATATTATAAAACTTCGATTCTGTTATATAAGGTCATTATGTTTTCCCTTCTTTGTGGGATAAATATGCAGTTTAAATATCATGTTATTATACAGTATTATTATTCTTAT